GAAGCCGAAAGCACCAGCCTGAAGATGGCGAGTGGGACCTCATCGAAACATCGCCAAGATACTCTCAATCTTACACAGGAAAAGACCCGAACAAGCCAGGTTTGGCAGCACGACACACATGATTAAAAAGAACCCAATACACAAGCCTGAGGATGGCAGATAAGATTCTGCCGAAACGTCACTATAATTTTAAAAGTACAAATATTAAGACGTGGGAAAATATCTGAAGAAACCTAAATACCATACATATAAATACCCACAAAAACATAAGAGAATATATATGTGTGTGTGTGTGTGTGTGTGTGTATCTCCCAGCAAGCAATGATGAGTCTAGGCTTCTCAAGGCCTTTTGTATAAGATTCTTAGAATTAACCTCACATCTAGAGTTGGTCCCTTCTTCCTAGTCTCTCTAGTATCTTCCAGTATTAACTGCCTACTCATTTTGGACAAAATCCATGCTCTCCAAGGTGTTCTGTCTTGTAAAGCAAGTTCTCAATCCAAGGGTATTCTTAGTCTCATGGCTTGTCTGTAGAGCAGATGGAGATCATAGTGGGTTGCAGCCATTCCTGAACTACAGGCTTCGTTTATGATAATTCATGCCTTTCTTACTTCCTAACTGCAATAAACTTGTTTTATGAGAAACTGTCTTTAAGCCCACACAGAAGCCATAGCTGATCGGGAACGCAATACTCTTAAGTGATAATGGCATATCAGAGCTTATTTTTGTAACATTGTTTGAATTGCACTAGATGCTGGCTGGCTAGTAGGTTTTTAATATTCTTTATGGCCCAGGATCTGGGTATCTATTAAATCACTTTATTCAAGTTGCTTCTGCCCAAACAGCAAGATTCAGTGGGAAAGATATACTGCAGTTTCCGATCCTTAATGAATGATGCTATCAAATATTTTGAACACTGCACCACTCATCTTTGAAACACTCACTGGAACACTCACTGGAACAATCCTTCTCTGGACCATTCTCTTCTTTAGAATACCCTTGAGAAAAGATTGGTTCTGAAAGTTTTTGGTGACAAATAAATGGTGAGAAATTTGGGGATAGTTGATTAAGGATTTTGATGTTGGAGTGGGGTTTTTTGTTGTTATTAATTTTCACTTTCATAATTTATTGTATTTCAGTCTTATTGCTGGAATAAGGAGTTGTTATTGAGTAGAATAGCATACCAATAGTCATCAACATCCGTTCATTCAGCAATTATTCAAAATTACAATGGTGAATGAAGAGACTTATGGACCCTGCCAAAGTTACAGAAATTACATTCAGGAAGAAGAGCTGGCCAATCCACTCCTCAGCCTCTCTATAGAGTTTGGAGACCAGGTGACTCCATCCCAGAGGTGGGTATCATTTTAGGGTAGCCATAGTTTATTGTAGCTACTCCCAAAATGACATCCGCCTCCAGGATGGTGCCATGTGGCCTCCCTGTAGGAAGGCGATGGGTGGGTCATCTAGTTCCACAAGGAAATTGGGGAGACCCAATAGGACAAAAGAAGGCCCTGGTCTGTGGAGGATCCAGTGAAGTGAAAACAGAGTATAGAGGGCCTCAGATGTGGAGAAGCCATGGGAGGACAGGACAAGCCATGTGAGAGCTGGGAAGGTACTGCAGTACAGGTCTGAGCCTGGTTTGGGGGTCAGGGTGTGTAGCAGCTGGTGATGCAGCAACCAGAGAATAATCAGGGAAGCCATTGAAATAGAGAAACACCCCCATAACATGAATAAACGGGATGATACCTCCCGCCTACCAGACATCTGGAAAATATAATTTTAAAAGAGATTCTGCAAAAGTACATAAAACTGTATTGTTGTATTTGTATTTGAAATAATGTTAGAAAACTGGAATACTATATGATTATAAAATGGGATAAAATATTAAAAGGAATGTGTAAAATGCTTAACATTTAATGATAGAGTTTAGTTTGCTAATGGATTATTGTTTTAATTATATTATAAACTTATCATTTTCCTATTTTAAAATATAGTATGTAGCTTTAGAATGTACTAAGCAGAATCAGAATGGAAACTATATATATTTTAAGTGTTACATTTAGGGGAAAGATATAAAGGCGTTATACTTCAATCAGTGATTACAGGAGAAATTTTATGTTAAAGAGAAAAGATAATAGATAATTGAAATAGAACAGACAAATGATACAAGCATAATGATTTAAATTGAGATGAAATAAATTAGAATTAAGAGAGTAAAAAGAGGGGAGAAGCTATATAGAAAATGTAGAATGATAAATAAGATATGAAATGGTATATAATGTGTGCATGAATTTGACTGATGTCTGTATAAAAAGATGTAATCCGGGACTAAGTCGCTTTTCAAAAAGAAGTTTTATGTTTTTATGTTTTGTGTTTTGTTTGTGTATGTTTGTTTATTGAAAATTAATTTAAAAATTATTAAAAAAAAGAAAAGAAATACAACACAGCCAACCTCCCCACCAGTATTTATAAAGAGATGGCAGCTCCAATCATGATTTGCTTGAACAAGCACGAAGCCAAAAGCACCAGCTTGAAGATGGCGAGTGGGACCTTGTCGAAACGTGGCCAAGAAACTCTCAATATTGCACGGGAAAAGACCCAAACACGCCAAGACCTGCATACCTGTACTCATGAAAATCTACAAATATGTGTGTGTGTGTGTGTGTGTGTGTGTGTATTTAGCCTACAGGCCATATCAACATACAGCTTCAAACACATTACCGATAAAACTAAAAAAAAAACAAATTAAAATGAGAACAGGGTAAAATACAATAATACATAAACATGTAAAAGAATACAATGGCATAAAATTATATTTCTGTATCACACCTGCTCTCAGTCAGACCATTTGAGTCAGAAAAAAATGGAGCTGGGGGGGTGCACAGCTCCCCCCTGAGCTCTGTTTTGGGGCCTTCTGGGCCTCAGAGAAGCCTCCTGGGGGGGGGCGTTTATGCTTCCAGAAGGCTTCCCTGGGGCTCAGGAAGGAAAAAATGGAGCATGGGGGGCATGCAGCACTCCCCTGTGCTCTATTTTGGGGCCTTCTAGACCTCAGGGAAGCCTGGGGGGGTGTTTTTGTTCCCAGATGGCTTCCCTGGGGCTCAGGAAGGAAAAAAACAGAGGGGGTTGGGGGTGCTGCTGCGCCCCTCTTCCATTTTTTGCCTTCCTGCAGTAAGTAAGCGAGAGGAATCCTGACACAATTGATCATAGGAACAGCTGACTGTCAGGAGGGGGAAAAAATACCTTTAGGAGTTACTGTGAAGGAAGAATGCAGTCAGTGATGTCAGGCATGTGCTCAATGTTGCGCATGCGTGATAAGGACTGACTGAGTGAGGAGGGGATGGAAGGGGTGGGCAGGTGGGGCGGGGGCCAGCCAGGGGGATGATTTGCTGGTTCTCCGAACTGCACAGTATAATAACAACTGGTCTGAACTGGTAGAATTCCACCCCTGGGTGTAAACCCCAAACCTCAGCTCCATATAGAAGTATGGGGATTACCTTAGATTTATATACTTCGATTAGTGGTACTAGGGAGCCTGGGTAACTGTGATTCTTTAATTTAAATAATAGATTCAAGGGAGCTTTTGCTCTAAGAATGTTCCATTCATGGTTACAAGCCCAAGATCTGGTCTTGGAAAAAGTTATGCCTAAGAATATGAAGGTGTTAACCTGTTCAATTGGTTCTCCATCTAATTGTGATCTATGTCTCTGGTTATGTTTTATCCTGACAATAGTATTTCAATCTCCTTAGTATCCTATGCAGTCCTACTTGTCAGTATGATCATAGAATAGAATTCTTTATTGGTCAAGTGTGATTGGACACACTTGGACAGATAATAAAATCATATTATCAACATAGAGCAAGGTGTTAACAATTTCTGTTGTTCTAGCCCAGTTGGTAGCATTCTCTGCTTTAAGGTGGTCTGATATTGCCTTAGTATCAACTTTAGCCCAAATTTACCTTTTATTTTGGATCACCTCTACCTTTTTGATAGCCATCTGTCAACCATGTTATATGGTCTTAGATCTGAACAGCCTTGCAATGTCACATTTGCACGCTGATCGCTATCATCACTAAAGTGTACCATAACCTCTGAGAAGAGGTCAACCTTATCTCTAGACACACAAAAGAGATCCAGGACACTGCTTGAATGAGCCAAGTGGTATGTGTAAATATACGTGTAATTCTTATCCTTACCTCCCAGAATTTGGAGATTACCCTTAAAAATTAAGGAGAATAGGAGCAGGCCAGCAGTGTTACTTTTGCGGTCTCTCTTGAGCAACTGAGGATGGTTGTCAAAAAATTCCTCTGGGTCTCCTTTCTTCTGGGCGAACTCATACAAAGAAGGACCCAACCAATCATTATAATCTCCTAATAATACCACTAATGGTACAATACAGATATATCGTCTAGGATAACTTCCAAATTTATCCAATATTCAGAGTTATAATACCACGATGAGTTTGGAGGGATATACACATTTACCATATTACCTCAAACTCTTCATACCCAAATTTAACAGCTAGGAAATATGAATACTTATCTTCATTGTATAGTTTCTCCCCCTGCCATTGCAATTCTTGCTTTTTAAGAATGCATAACCTACCAGAGAGTCTCCCTTTGTTTTGTTTTGGGGCTGGGGAGGCTCATCCCTGAAAGTCTGGCAGTTGTACTGATTTGTCCACTTTGGTTAACCAGGTTTCTTTAATGGCTATTTCGTCGAATCTAGAGAGAAAATACATTAGTCCACCTAGAAAGAAAATTCATTATCAACACTCCTTTCCAGTCAGCCATGTTCCAAGTCACAATCTATAAAAGATTCCCAGTGGTAGGTAGTCTGGCTTGGATAGTAAGAATGCCAGATGTCAACTTGACTTTGGAGCTGGGCCAATATTAACTATGCTTCCTGTATACACAGAGTTATTGTATTTCTCCTCATGAGTTGCAAATCTTGTTGCTCTTTATTTTGATTGCCAGTGTTCCTCTGCTTTTGCTCCAAGACTGACATTTCTTCAGGTGGGCGGGAACTCCTGCTTTCCTTCTCTTTGTCTAGTTGTTCTACTGGATGGTTAATTTGGACTTATACTGTTAAGTCCTGTTGGATGTCCTTTTTCTTTTTCTTTTGGACTGGTATGCCTTTTCTTTTTCTTTTTTTGGGCTTGAGTGCTTTCAGAAGCCAGACTTGATAGCAATTCCATGGAGGAGCTGCCAGAAGGAAGCAAAACATTCAAGCTTTTGTTGTACTAGTTGCCAACATTTGACCAATTATTTCAATCTTCTTTAATATCATCTCTTGATCTCCTGAGCAAATGGTGGCAAACTAGTGGACTAGCTCTTCCTCATCATCCATGAACTGAAGGTTTCTGTTGTGTAGGTTTAAATATTCTTTTTTATTGTTCTTATCTTTTTTTCTAACTTTGTTAATTGAGGGCTTGCTTGTTTGGCCATTCGTGTTTTGGAGTTTTCAAGGTTGATGTCAATCTTCCTCAGTGTCTTGGCTCTCTGCCCAGACTTTTAACAGGGACTGTTAATTTGGGTGGTGTGAAATACTCATCTTGGCAAAATACAGAATTTCTTTAGTGATGTTTCAAGCCTGAATAAATTGATGGCAGAACAATCTGCCCAAAGGTTAGTGTTATTCTTTTCCAGCCTTGTCTGTCAGGGAGCCAAATAATCTCTGTTAGCTCATTAGAATGTACCTTACACCGTAAAAGTTGGGATAGAGGGATCAAAACCATTCTCCTGTTATGCCACCTGCCTCTGTTCATGGGACATTAGCAACTTGGAGTAAGATCCTGTGTCTCTGTAAGACCAGTCTCTCCACTGCAGTCCTGAGGCCCCCAGTCCACACAGGCTGGCCAAACATCATGGGTAAGCTTTGAAATGTGAGCTTTGCGGAGGAGGCGGGGCTGATGCTGTAACGACACGACATGCTCACAGAGAGGTCTGTGGGGACCATCGATATCCAGCTGGCAGAGGGGTCCTAATAGTTCCAAATTACCTTGGAGGGGTGAGGATTGTAGAGACCGCACTCTGTTGATCGCAGGGAGACCACAAATTCCCTGGTCAGTCTGGAGAAGGCTCTCCAATCTGACAGCAGAGAAAACAGCCATTGCAAGCCATTCTAAAGCTGGGGCAGCCACTGGAAAGAAAGTGAAAGCAGGAGATGGTGAGATTGGACTGGGTGAGAAACCTTTTAATTGAATTGAATACTCAAGAACAGATAGTAGAAAGAACCCCCTGGAATACAATTAAGGGGAAGTAAGACAGAAAAGAAGAGGTAGAATTTTTTTCCCCACCTCTGGAAGAAAAACTGTGAGGAGAGCTGTTAAGAGCCATAATAATTAGTACAGGAAATGGCTTAAAGGACTGGTTGAAAGATTATACTTAAGAAGTTAGACTGGGTATTTCAAAAGAATATAATACCAACTTAGAACTTTTGGATAATAACAAAAGACTATATGGAATTTTGTTTTAAATATATTTAAACATTTTATGATTTTACTCTACAACTTGAAAACTTTTACAGAAATACAGCATATAAAAGGGAAAGAAAGGAGAAGCCAGAGCAACAGTGCCACTTAAAGACAGAAGTGAAAATTGAAGGGGAAATTACTCTGACTTTACGTTGAAGTAGGACAATAAAATAACAAGACTATTTTGACTGAAGAATCAAAATAGAGAGTGGAACACTGAGACTTTGTTTTTTTTAAAAAAGTGTAGATCTTGGCACTTAATTGAAAGGAAACAGATAAAGTCAACAGAAGCTGAAAATTGTCCTTCTGTCTAGATCTTTTTCTCTCTTGTTTTTTTTTTTCTCGTGAATTCTCCCTTTGGATACTAAACAGCTGGTGGTGGAACTCTTGGGTGTGGTGGGCCAATTTGGATTACAAATTATTGTTATATTAATTCTTTTTCTATGAGTAAACAGATTAGGATTAGAGAAAGCTTTAAAGAGTGGCAAAACCTGATTTTGGATTATAACTTCCTGGGATAACAACGTAATTTTTTAAAATTACTGGGGACTATAAATACTTAAATATTTTAAAATGAAGAAAACTTCTGCACCATCCTCAGTATCTTCTTTGGCAGCCTCCAGCTCTGTGGGCCAAAGAAACTTGGACTCCCTACTTCATCAAGAAAACACAAATGCGCAACAAGAGAAATTGAAAGTGTTACAAACGCTCCATGAGGACATGAAAGAATAGAGAAAATGGAAGGGAAATTAGAAGGAAAAATAGAGAAAATAGAAGGAAAAGTAGAGAAAATAGAAGGAAAAATAGAGGCCTTCCAAAAAATGATGGCAAAAAATGAACAACATATACAAAAAGTAGAAGAGAGAGCCGAATTAACAGAAAAAAGAGTAGGAGAACTTGACTGTAGATTGACACAAGCAGATAGGAGCAAGGAAAGGACAATAATAATGTTAGAGGTGGATAAGGCAGATTTTTACTTGAGATTTCAAAATATGGAACAAGAAAAGGGAGAAAATCTAGCAGAGATAATGACAGAGTTGTTGGTAGGAGCTATGGAGGTAGCTAAGGAAAAAAATCTTGGCAGAGATGGACAAAGTGTTTACATACTAGATATGCAATGTGAAATAGACTTCCCAGAGAGGTTCATGTGAGGTTTACAAAAAAAAGCACTAAAAACAGAGATTATGCAGAGAGTGAGAGATGGTCCCTTGAAATATAAAGGAAATGAGATTGTAGTCCTAAAACAAATTCCAAGAAGAGTCAGAGATTTAAAGAAGGAGTATCAGTTTTTGACAAAAATCTTAATCAAAAGGGGAGTGAATTTTAGATGGCTGATACCAGAAGGAATTTTGGTAAACTGGCAGGAGCAGAGACATAGATTAGATACAATAGAGAAGGTGGAACAATTTTATGATCATTACTTGGGACCACAGGAGGAAGAGAGAGTGAGGGAGGAAGATTCGAAGCCAAGAAGAAACTGCAGGAGAGAAGGAAATATAACAAAAAGAGGATGAAAGAGACTTGGAGGAAATAACCATAAGAAAAGGAGCTAGGGCAAAAGAGCCAAGAGACCCAAGGATGACTAGAACAACAAAATCTATCTATAAGTAAAAACATGGAAGAAGAAATAAAATTAATGTCAATTAGCATAAATGGACTGAACTCCGCAATAAAAAGGAAAAGAACTTTCAGTAAATTAGAAAAATTAATGTTGGATATAACTTGTCTACAAGAAGTTCACATTAAAGAGCAACATAACAAGATATTGGAACATCCTAAAATTGGGAAGATGTATGCCTTTCTGGCACAACAAAATAAGAGAGGAATAGCACTGTATATAAAAGAGACAATAAACTCTAAACAAATTTTCATAGATGAAGAAAGAAGGATCTTGATGGTGGAGATAATGATGAATCGCAAACAGGTATTATTGGTAGCAATATATGCACCGAACAGTGACCAAGAAGACTTTAATGATCAATTGCATAAGAATATAATAGAATTGGAGTTCCAAAACATATATGCATAGTAGGAGATTTTAAGGCAATTGTGGACTCAAAACTGGACTATAAAACTAGGAAAACAAATAAGAAACCCAGGAAAATATTTCCAAAAGCTTTATTTAAAATGATGGAAGAACTAATCATTCAAGATGCAGGAGAGAGAGATGGAGAGAGATCTATCCAGAGAAAGAACAATATTAATTTTATTCAAACAGACATATGTCCTGGTCCAGAATAGATATGATGTGGTTTTCAGCAGAATTAGATCCAACATACCAGAGATTGATATTGAAACAAGCATATGGGCAGATCATTAGCTGATTAAAGCTATATGGAAAGGACAAAAAAAGAAATTTAGATAGACAATGAACCAAACAATATTAAAAGAAAAGGAATATATTCAGTTTATGGAAAAAGAATTAGATTTTTTCCTTAAAGATAACAGAAAAGAAGAAACTTCATTACAAAATTTATAGGATACTGCAAAGACATATTAGAGATACATTAATGATAACATATGTGGGAAAGAAATAAACAGAAAAGTACAAAAAAAATTAGGAGAAGAATATAAGAGATTAGAGACTGAACCACAGAAAGATCCACAAAAAAGAACATTAAAAAACATAGAATTTAAAAAACATACGCTGAATTTGATGGATAAAGAGGAACTAGCACAAAAAATTAAAAGCGCTAAGCAAAACTTTTTTGAAAATGCAAACAAACCAGGGAGATGACTGGCATACAAACTGAAAAAAAGAGAAAGAAAAGGAACTATTCATCAACTAATAGATAATGAAGGGATATTTCATCATAAAAATGAAGATAAAATGAAAATAGTCCAAAAGTACCATGTAAAACTATATGATCAAGAGATAATCGCAGATGATAAAATAAAACAGTATCTACAAAAAATGAAATTACCATCAGTAGCTGAAACAGTTAAAGAAACATTAGGAGAAAGAATAACAATGATGGAATTAACAGAAGCAATTAAAAGTCAAAGAATGACAAAACATCTGGCCCAGATGGACTACCAGCAGAACTATATAAAGACTTACAAGACTTTTTAAGTAACATAACGTTGGAAGTGTTTAATAATTTATTGTTAGAGGCAAAGGTACCTAATTCTTGGATGGAGGCATATATTACTCTCATACCAAAAGAAGACTCAGATTTTCAACAGATTAAAAATTATAAACCAATATTGTTATTGAATGTGGATTACAAAATATTTGCATCAATTATTGCAGAAAGACTAAAGGGATTTTTAAATCAGTGTATACATCCAGATCAAAATGGTTTTGTACCTAAGAGACAAATTACAGACAATATGAGAATAATTTTGAACACACTGGAGTACTACGAAGCACATCCAGAGAAGCAAATGGCATTGATCTTCTTAGATGCACAGCGAACTGGCAGTTTATGTTACAGTTAAAGGAGATGGAATTTGGGGAGCGATTTATTAAAATGATTAAGGCAATATATCACAAACAAACTGCAAAAGTGATGGTAAATGGGGATATGACTGAAAAGGTTAATATTAAGAAGGATACAAGATAAGGATGTCCCTTGTCGCCATTGCTATTTGTATTGACTTTGGAAGTATTGAATAGAAACATTAGACAAGATAGGAAGATAAAAGGCATGGAAATTAAAAGGGAAGAGTATAAGTTACAGGCATTTGCAGATGATTTAGTTTTTATTGTAGAAGATCCACAAGAAACAGGGTTGAAACTTATGGAAAAAATGGAAAAGTATTGGGATGTGGCAGGACTGAAAATAAAAAGAGAAAAAAACTAAGATTTTAGTGAAGAATATCACAGATAAGCAAAAGAAAAGACAAACAACAAATTAAGATAGACTTGAAAAAATGGAAAGGTTTGCAACTATCATTATCAGGAAGAATAGCTACAATTAAAATGTATATACTACCAAGATTATTGTATCTGTTTCAAACAGTCCCGATAAAGCTGGAAAAAATATTTTGAGGATCTGAATAAAATATTAAAATTTATGTGGCAAGAGAAAAGAGCAAGAATTAACTTAAAAGTGCTACAGGATAAAAGAACAAGGGGAGGTTTTGGACTGACAAATTGGAAACTACACTATCAGGCAGTGGTGTTAACATGGATGAAAGAATGGATTGTACTGAGGAACACAAGATTATTGAACTTGGAGGGACATGATTTGCAATTGGGCTGGCATGCTTTTGGAGAAAAATAAGATACATGGTTACCTTCAAAGACACTACAAAAAAAATGATTTATTGCAAGTATGGGAGAAAATTAAAGAACAGCACTATTTGAAAATAACAATTTGGCTTTCAACAATTTATAGTGAAGAGAATGTATATTTGATTATTCATGTACTAACTGCAGCTAGAATTGTATTTGCTCAAAACTGGAAATGAAACTGATTGAAGCATAATTCTATTAACATATTTTCTATATTTCACTAATCTATTAGCTATTTCTAGCTTTCATATTTTTTCTCTAGCCATCGATAAAATAATTCCCATATTTGGTAGTATTTAATTGCAAGTGTTAATCTATTCATTTCTGCACATTCTAATATTTTTCTGATCACATTTTCATCAGTAGAAATGAAACTGATCAGGAGCTGGTTAAATATAGCAGAGATTCTTTCTTGTTAGTAGGCAATTCTTGGCAATCAAATCCAAGTCTCCTTTAAAATTGTTCCTAATATTATTCTTGTGTTCCCCCCCCCCCCAGCTCCTACTGTAGTTGGAACTCCCTCCTCCACAGAGGAGCAATCGTCCTCTTCCCAATCCAGTAAGGGGCTAGGTTTGTTTGGAGAGTGGGGGAAGAAAAGGAGTCTTACTTGCAGTGTCTGTTATCTGGAAAAAGTCTTGGATTGTCTTGGTGTAGTTGCAGCCATGTTGTTTCTGAGAGAGGTTTGCCTGTTACAATTTATTGCTTGACTATCATAGGGCTATTAAAAATATTTATACTGAAAAAGTAAACAGTCCAAACAATCTTATCACTCCTGATTCATTGATAAAACCACAGAAGGAAAACATTCCTGCTGTTGCTGCTTCTCTATGTTAATCTCCAAAAAAAGCATATATGTCAACTCGCGAAGTATTCCTGACCTGATCTCGAGTTGCTATAGGCAAGAAGGATGGGGAATTGAACTTCGCAGTTGCATCGAGGAACTTGCATTTCAGTCAAAATAAAGCACATTCCAGCCAGTAACATCAAGGTCATCTCTTTGGAAATCCACAGTGGTCGGAGGGAGTGACTTCTACAACCCATGAAATTGCTTCTTGGGGGAATATGACTGATGACACAACTTGGGGGGTGGGGGGTCAGAGCCAAAGCATGAATTAAGTGAGGTTAGAATTGGCTTCATTTGGTCCGTGCCGACATGAAGCTCCTAATAAATAACTGGATTTCTTTTGAAGCTTGGCCTGAAGCTCATGATTTAATTAGGGCATCGGTCGGAAAGTTAATATATAAAAGTTAAAAATTAAAAAGAAGAGGCAAGGGTGATTAAACCCTGTTAAAATTAGTTTCAAAGGCTTAAAAATAATTGAAATTTTAAAACATTAAAATTACATAGATTAAGATTTTAAAAACCAAGGTGAGGTAAACTGAAACCAGGACCTACATTCCCCTAAACTCTCTGGCAGCCAATTGCATTTGTAGATCTGTGGTAGGACTGGGATAGGATAATGCATTCATCTTGGCCTTTCTTATTTTTGATTCTATCAATCATGACATATTTTTGGATCAACTTAAAGGTTGAGTGTGGGACAATTTCAATTAGTGTTGATAGGAGACGAGAAAATTGTCTAACCACAGAATTTTACTCTCTTAAAAGAATGAGGACAAGTCTTGCCTTTCTTTGGTACAGGCAGGCAGGCGGGAAGGGAAAGGAAGGATTCTCTATGTAAGGAGAATTTTCCCACAAATCAGATCATGGGAAAATAAAGTTCCACACTGTGGATTACCTTTTTGTTTGATAGGAAGGAAAAAAACCTTTCAGGATTGCTTTTAGTGAGAATTACTTCTGAATTTCAGCTTGAAAAGGAGAAAAGGAGTTAAGTGTTATAATCTGATATGGGAGCAACACACATCAGCACACGCATGCATGCACGCACACACACACTACTCACTTGAGATTGTAATCAGTATTTTGGTACTTACCATTGCTATATTACCCAGAGTTAAATTTTTAAGTGCTTTCTGTTTAAATAAACTATATTGAATTTTTATTACATTAAAAACATAAAAAAATATATCATTCAATAACAGCTATTTGTGGTGCTTATCATATAACAATCATTTGTGCAATATTTACAAATATTAATTTGTGCCTAATTATATACTTATTCTATCTATATTCTATATTTAATAATTACCTATCCTTAATCTATCTCCGATCTATCCAGTTATACCATTGTTTCCATACCTTATAAAATATTGAAGCTTCCTTATCTTTTAAACTCAGCATTAGTTTATCCATTTCAGCACAATTCATAACTTTTTGTATAACCAGTTCCTCTACAGGTGTATATGGCTGTTTCCAACATTGTACAAAGGCAATCCTGTTAGCAGTCAATATGTGTAATAATAAGTATTTTGTACTCTGCGTATTTTTTTTTGAAGATCCCCAATAGGAAGAGTTCTGGTTCTAGGTCTAATTGTTCATTGGTGATTTCTTGTAGCCAATTTTGGATTTTGAGCCAGTATTTTCGAGCTTCTGGGCAGGACCACCACATATGATAATATGTTCCCTCTTTTTTTTACACTTCCAACATATAGAACTCATTTTAGGATACATTTTTGCTAATCTCAAAGGGGGTAAGTGCCACCTATAGAACATTTTATATGCATTTTCTTTGTATGTTACTGATTTTGTTAATTTGTGATTTCTATTCCATACAGTCTCCTAGTCTGATAACTTTATATTATGACCAATATTTTGACCCCGTGCGATCATGCATGCTTTCACTACTTCTTCTAATTCTGCCTCTAGAAAAAACTTGTAAATTTTGGTAATATTTTTTTCATCTGAGCTTAATAAAATTTTGTCTAATTGTTGAGGTTTCAAATATATTCCATACTCCTTTACATCCTTTTTATATTGACTTTGTATTTGAAGATAAGCCCACCAGTCTACTCATAGCCCTTGTTCTTGGAGCTCCTGTATTGTTTTTAAATTTCCATTTGTATCCAATAAGTCTTTATATTTTAACCTTTTATTCAGGTCTAAATTATTTAGGTGAATCGTCGCTTCCATTGTATAGCCAAATTGGGATTTTTATATAGTGTTTCTTCTTGACCTTGATCCAATTGTATATCAATGAATCTCTAATCAGATGTCTGTGGAAATATTTTTGTTTAGTGGGTCCAGTGTCCCAAAGAAAGGCATGCCATCCCCTCTGAAGATTTTGACCATTTATAGCTAATATTCTTTTATTCTTTAAATTAATCCAATCTTTTAGCCAAACTAATGCTGCTGCACTATAATATAATTCCCATTTTGGCAGTCCAAAGCCTTCTCTGCACTTCATATCTTGTAGTAGTTTCATTTTTATTCTGGGTTTTTTACCCTGCCAGATAAATTTTGCTGTCATTTTATTAAGATTATCAAAAAAGGTCTTTTCTAATTTAACTGGAATAGTTTGGAATAGATAAAGAAATTTTGGTAATATAGACATTTTTATGGCTGCTATTCTTCCTAGTAATGACAATTGCATTTTCCTCCATAGTTCCAAGTCTTTTTTGTTTGTTTGCTATAATAGCTTATTATAATTATTCTCCTTTATCGCCTTA